AAATTTTGCACAAAATTCAGTCGTGGCAAACACTAAGGTATTGTCTTGGTCCCGCAGATGGGCGCCGCCAAACGGCTAAGCCACGCCCCCCAGAATCAGCCCCCAAGACACGTAATGCCGACATGTATGAAAATTGGTACGCATGTGTATCATGATAAAAGAAGCAAAAAAGCCTCTTGGACCCATAGCTCAAACCCAACAGGAAGTCGGCCATTTTAGATTTTGTCGCAATTTGCACATGTTGTATTTGAAAGAACTCCTCCTAGGGAATTTATTGGACCGACTTCAGATTTGGACACAGCCATCTAAACACATTCACCATTAAAAGTTGTACTCTTCAGTTTTTTTCGTCAAACCTCCTGCCTGTGGCGTGTTGTCCTGTGGCATCCAATTTCGACCCTTCGCCATAAAAAGAGGGATTCGTCATAACTTCTGCATACGTGAACACATTGTTGTTGATATGTGCTGACTGTGGTGAGGGGGCGTGTCTGTGGCGTGGCGGGAAATTTTGAAACACGAATTCGCTATAACTTGAGTGTACATTGTCCAATCGGCTCCAAACTTCACTTGTCTGATAAGAGTCCCGCCCTGAACACATAGTGATAGCGCCACCTAGTGGCAACAGGAAGTAAGTTCTGCGTGGCAATTTTGAGCTGATTTACATGACATTTTCATGTTGTGGTCCGCACTTGTTACGACGGCATGTGAGGTGGCCGCAGCGCACCCCAACAGCACGTGACGCGGCCCAGCACACCCCGACGTGCACCGGCTGTGAGATCCCATTCAACGCTGCTTGCAGCTTTAATTGTTATTATTGTTGTTATTAATATTATTGTTTTCCTTCCCAACATCAACATCTTCACAAATGAGACGTAATGAGACAAATGTCCTTCAGAGGCGGCAGTATTATCCGAATATTCTGGATTCATTTCTGTACAGTGGGAGGGGAGACGGCAGCCATCTTTTCAGGTGAATGATGAAGACACACACTATAACAACATAGAAAACAAAAATGCCAACAAAATATCTATCAATCAATAATAGGATAGATTAGGATAATACCTGGACCCCCCCTTCCCCCCTTGGAACCATTACAGTGGAAACCACAGAAAGAAATGAAGTAGGAGGAGCTCATACTGTCTGTAATTATAACCTCATCTACAGTATGATCTTACCTCTGCACTTACAGCTCGTATTGATTGATTGATTGATTGATTGATTCTGAATCTTCTTCCTGCCTTCAGTTCTTTGTGTTGTTTTCGGTCTGGGAACAGTTTTTACATTAAAACACAGAAACTAAAGTCTTCTTCATACTCCAACAGATCTGCTCTTGGACTTGTGTTGAACTCGACTGAGGTGGTCTGATCCAGACTGCAGCTGTCCACACATCGCAGTGTGTGTGTGTCTGTGTGTGTCTGTGTGTGTGTGTGTGTGTGTGTGTGTGTGTGTGTGTGTGAGTGAGTGAGTGAGTGAGTGTGTGTGTGTGTGAGAGAGAGAGAGAGAGACACCTCGGGGCATTTTGTCACTTAAGGGATGGACATTTGGACGATCAGTTTTCCTGCACACTCCAGAGTCCGGATGAGCAGATTAGGGGTCAGGATCAGGACTAACTGATTTAGGAAGGTTTAGTGAAATCCATCCTCTTTGTTTGGACTCATCGGCCCGTCGGCTCTGTTCTTCTTCTTCTTCTTCTTTTTCATCCCCTTTTCTCTGGTTCACTGAGCTGCAGAGACCGCAGAGGATCACAGAACCAGCTCTACAGGAAGCTCATACAGGTGTTCTCATTACCAGGTCTCACACTGTTTTATCGATTTGTTGTGGGATCAATATTGATTTTAAACATAACCTTAAATAATCTCATCTCATTTTACCTTATCTTATCTTACCAAATCTTATCTTACCTACCTTACCTTAGATAATGTTATAACGATGATAATGTTATAATGAAGATAACATTATAACGATGATAATGTTATAATGAAGATAACATTATAATGATGATAATGTTGTAATGCTATAATGTTATGATGAGGATAATGTTATGTTATGATGATGATAATGTTATAATGCTATAATGTTGTAATGTTATAATGTTATGATGAGGATAATGTTATGTTATAATGATGATAATGTTATAATGCTATAATGTTATAATGTTATGTTATAATGATGATAATGTTATAATGCTATAATGCTATAATGCTGTAATGCTATATTGTTATGTTATAATGATGATAATATTATAATGCTATAATGTTGTAATGCTATATTGTTATGTTATAATGATGATAATATTATAATGCTATAATGTTGTAATGCTATATTGTTATGATGAGGATATTGTTATGATGAGGATAATGTTATAATGTTATAATGCTATAATGCTGTAATGCTATATTGTTATGATGAGGATAATGTTATAATGAGGATAATGTTATAATGTTATGAGTTTGTGTTCACTAACAGCTGATAGAGGAAGTGAAGAGCAGACACACAGTGTACATTCAATTCTTCTATAATTGATTATGATGTGTATTCTCATCTGCTGTGTTCAATCAATACCCTAACCCATCAAACCAGCCTAACTGGGAGCAGTTACGCTGTGTTAGGGGAGGACTGGTGGACACACACAAGAGACTGTTTTCCTCCACCAACTTTATTCTTTATTTTTTTTTGGATTTAATGTCTCAGACTTTATTTGTTGTAATGAAGTAAAATGCAGATGTTTACTTGTAATGGAGTATACCATGGTAGTACTTTTACTGAAGTATAGGATGAGTTTGCAGTGGAACCTGCTGCCACCTGCTGTTCACTCACAGTATCACATCCTGGCAGGGGAGGATTGTGGGTTAAAAATAACTTCTGGAACATGTTTGTGTTGTGTTGTGTTGAGTTGTGTTGAGTTGTGTTGTGTTGTGCAGTGATGCCGGTAACACGTTACTTAGTAACGCGTTACTCCAATCTGACCACTTTTTCCAGTAACGAGTAATCTAACGCGTTACTATTTCCAAACCGGTAATCAGATTAAAGTTACATATCCAAGTCATGGTGCATTACTATGTTTGTCATTTTCCGTAATAAAAATATATTTGCTTTCTTCTTGCATCTCTGGGAACATACTTACTTACAGAGCAAGTCCCACCAGGTGGTATGAAGCAGAGAGCAGGAGGTCCCCCACCACCCAAACAACAAAAGCTGGACTTCGGTGCAAAACCAGTAAGTTGGGGAGAGTTGAAGAAGTTGGTCGGGCAGTATGTTGTAGAGGAAATGCTACGTGTGGTGTTATAAACTTGTTTTGTTTTGTAAAACCACTCCTTGCTGCTCTAATGCTGTGAACAACAGGTACAATGTTCATAAAGTATGTTAAAAAGAATTTAATAGTTACATTTATAAACAATATAGATTATAAATACTAAGTTTTGCCATTACATTGTTAACAGTTAAATATGTCAGGTCAAGAAACACTGTCTTTATTTTATATTTTAGAAAAACAAGTAGGGTATTTATGTTAAGTGAATTCAAGAACAAGAAAGACTGTCTATTTTTTTTATAAAAACAAGTATTTATGTTAAGTGAAGTCAAGAAAGACTTTCTTTATTTTATTTTTTATAAAAACATGTATTTTTTTCAGGAAATAGTTTTTAAGTTCAACTTAAAATGTCAGGAGATACATTGTTGACGTTACTGTTAAAAATGCACTTCCAATAAAGTGAGTGTTGGCAAAACCGGTTGTCATTTTTATGTTGAGGCGGCGGGGGTGTTGTCGGCAGCTGCTGAATGTAACTAATAAAGTAACTTGTAATCTAACTTAGTTACTTTTAAAATCAAGTAATCTGTAAAGTAACTAAATTACCTTTTAAATCAGTAATCAGATTACTTTTTCAAAGTAACTGTGGCAACACTGGTGTTGTTTTGTGTTGAGTTGTGATGTGTTGTGTTGTGTTGTGTTGTGTTGTGATGTGATGTGCTGTAATGTGTTGTGTTGTGATGTGTTGTGTTGTGTTGTGCTGTAATGTGTTGAGTTATGTTGTGTTGTGATGTGCTGTAATGTGTTGTGTTGTGATGTGCTGTAATGTGTTGTGTTGTGATGTGTTGAGTTGTGTTGTGTTGTGTTGTGCTGTAATGTGTTGAGTTGTGTTGTGTTGTGATGTGCTGTAATGTGTTGTGTTGTGATGTGCTGTAATGTGTTGTGTTGTGATGTGTTGAGTTGTGTTGTGTTGTGATGTGTTGTAATGTGCTGTAATGTGTTGTGTTGTGATGTGTTGTGTTGTGTTGTGCTGTAATGTGTTGAGTTGTGTTGTGTTGTGATGTGCTGTAATGTGTTGTGTTGTGATGTGTTGTGTTGTGTTGTGCTGTAATGTGTTGAGTTGTGTTGTGTTGTGATGTGCTGTAATGTGTTGTGTTGTGATGTGTTGAGTTGTGTTGTGTTGTGTTGTGATGTGTTGTAATGTGTTGTTTTGTGTTGTGTTGAGTTGTGATGTGTTGTGATGTGCTGTAATGTGTTGTGATGTGATGTGTTGAGTTGTGTTGTGTTGAGTTGAGTTGTAATGTGTTGTGTTGTGTTGAGTTGTGTTGTGTTGTGATGTGTTTTGTTGTGTTGTGTTGTGATGTGTTTTGTTGAGTTGTGTTGTGATGTGATGTGTTGAGTTGTGTTGTGTTGAGTTGAGTTGTAATGTGTTGTGTTGTGATGTGCTGTAATGTGTTGTGTTGTGGTGTGTTGAGTTGTGTTGTGTTGTGTTGTGTTGAGTTGAGTTGTAATGTGTTGTGTTGTGATGTGCTGTAATGTGTTGTGTTGTGGTGTGTTGAGTTGTGTTGTGTTGTGATGTGTTGTGTCGTGATGTGTTTTGTTGAGTTGTGTTGTGGTGTGTTGAGTTGTGTTGTGTTATAATGTGTTGAGTTGTGTTGTGTTGTGATGTGTTGTATTGTTTCCCCCTAGGGGGAGAGCAGAATATGAGCTGTATAACAATCTATATTCTGTAATCAAATCAAACCAAATCAAATCAAACTGAATCATGTTCTTTAATGAAGAATGAGATCTAATAATGTTAATGTGATATCAAACACACGTTAAATACACTTCAGTGTCTGCTGCCCTCTGGTGGTCACAGTGAGGAACTACAAATCAAGCACATGACACAAACTATGTGACAAAATCAAGTTCAAAGGTCCCTGTGGTTGTGGTTCAGAGGTTGAGCAGCAGGGGGCACTGTTAGCTCTTCTGAAAGGAGGGACATGTTGACTCTGGTTCTGGTCTTAATCAGCTCATAATCCGGACACATACAAGAAACCTGCTGATACTCTATCACATCTTACTGGTACTGGTTGAATTCTGTCTCTCTGTATCTTCGTCATCATGGATCATAAAAATAAAGTATTATTGATGTATGATAGATGCAGGAGGACCATTACGATAAAATTTGGCATTCTGTTTTGTACTCCAGTACGTGAGTCTGATGAGTGAATTTACAGAATTTTCCTTTAAATATTTACAAGTAAATCTTAATTTTTTCATTAATGTGTAAATAAACTACAGTTTTTGTCATAATAATCAATCAATCAATCAATCATCAGGGATCAATTCCTCCATATCAGTGTGTTCTGATGTTTGATTGACAGCTATGATGATGTCAGCAGTCCTCACGCCCTCTCAGACATCCTGACTGGACATGGTCAGAGTGGTGACCTTTGACCTCAGGCCTGATGACGAAGAGTACGACACGTTGTTGCCCTGAGACGAAGGTTTGTCCTCTGAGTCGCTGCGGCAACAGAGAGTGTTGCGGGCCTTCTCCCTGAAGTCCACCGACACAAAGTAGAAGATGAACGGGTCGATGCAGCTGTTGAAGGTGCTAACTGCTAAGCTAACCATGTAGGGGACATAGATGTCCTCACCGTCTCCGTCCAGCGAGCTGTCCGTGTAGGTGAGGAGGAGGAGGATGTTGCTAGGCAACAGACACACGATGAAAACCAGCAGGACCAGCACCGTCACCCTGACGGCATGACCGTAGCGCTTACCCTCGGCCAGCAGGGTGCGCAGCACAGCCCCGTGGCAGAACAGCACAACGGCAAACGGCAGCAGGAAGCAGAGCGTGAACAAGGTGGCAAAGTACGGCAGGAAGTAGTTCTCCTGCTCCTCCTCAGGCAGTGCGTCGTGGCAGGTGGTGATCTGCAGCTCATCCAAAACGTAAGTCTGTCGCGAGACCAGCAGCGGCAGCATGGCGGCCAGAACCACCAACCACACCGCCGCCGTCATGTACAGAGATGTCTGCCGGCTGCGCAGCGTCTTGGCACCAAACGGGTGGACCAAGGCAATGTACCGGTCCAGAGCCACCAGCGCCAGACACAGCACAGACCCGTACATGTTTCCATAGAACATGGCCATGACGACGCGACAGAACGACTCACCCAGCTCCCAGTGGTTCCCCCTGAAGTGGTACACGATCCGAAACGGCAGGGCCAGCAGCAGCAGGCAGTCCGCCACCGTCAGGTTGATCAGCAGCGTGGTTGACGGCAGTGGTTTGGTCCTGAAGAGTAGCACCCACAGAGCCAGCAGGTTGGAGGGTAGACCCACAATGAAGGCCAGCAGGTAGAGGACTGGCAGGTACAGGTTGGTGGTCGGAGCCTGGATCTCCTTCATCTGCTTCTCCTTCAGAGTGGTGACGTTACAGATGGTCTTCAGCCGGAATGCCCGCAGACCTGCAGAGACCAGAACACACATCAGTGGTCTGTAACGAGGAGGGAGAGACAGAGCTCTGCATAAGAGACCTAGAACAACAGAGTCCCACTGGATTCTGAACTGATCTGGAGAGGTTATGCCTACAAATGTATAGTCACAATTGTAAAAATGTTAGCCAGTAAAAAAAGTCAAATGTTAATAAATTGTTGTATGGTATTGGAGTAGTAATTTTGAAAGTGCAATTTCCCAGTTGAGGGAGTGTCTGAGTGCTAGTAGGGCTGCGTGAGGCTTCTGGTCCTCTAACAGAGAACAGCCTGCTGAGCAATCACAAGTAACGTTTCCTGTCTCTGCTTTTCCTGTATAAGTATATGAACCTTCAAGCTTGATTCCATGTAAATTGTGAAATGTGTTCTAATTTCTTTAACAAAATGTCCTCTTTTTAATAAAATGTCCTCTCTTTAATAAAATGCCCTTTCTTTTAACAAATGTCCTCTTTTTAATAAAATGTCTTCTCTTTAATAAAATGTCCTCTTTTAAATAAAATGTCCTCTCTTTAATAAAATGTCCTTTCTTTTATAAAATGTCCTCTCTTTAATAAAATGTCCTCTGTTTCATGGACTAAGTGGGTCTTCACAAAGATCAGCTCAGACTGTCTCTGAGTAAACACACAATGAAACCCTAACCCTGATGTGAAGCAGGGGCTGCTGGGAATTCAACATGTCTCTACCTGTCCATGTGTTCAGAGTAAAATAAGGAGAAGACTTACGGACAGACATTCCAGAGCATTCGTCTGCAAGACGGGAAGACGGAGAGACGCTGCTGATGGACGACAACAGAGAGACGAAGACCAGAGTCCCAAACAACAAATTCATCTTCTTCTTTTCCTTCAGTTCCTGCAGCATGTCCTCTTCTTCTTTTGAACTTTTTCTTTTTGTTCTCAGTCTCGCAGGTCCTCCAACACTTAGGGTGTGTTAGGGTTGGCTTTCTCTTTTTCTATCTGAACAGCTGCACTTCTCTTCCTCTTTCTCTAACAGTCCTGTGGTTCGTTACTGCAGCAGCAGGGCTGCAGGGCTTTGAGTTTGTGTTAACTGATCTCAGAGCTGCTTTCGACTTACCTCAACTGCTGATGTGATCCAGATGTGTGTGTGTGTGTGTGTGTGTGTGTGTGTGTGTGTGTGTATGTGAGTGACTCTACACTATGTCTATCTTTGTGAGGACCAGTTATATACCTCATGTTATTTGGTCCTTATTTCTTTTAACCTGTTTGAGAGTTGGGGTTAGGATCAGGTTTGTCTGTCTGTCTGTCTGTCTGTCTGTTTGTCTGACTGTTTGTAAGTGGCTGCCCCGCCCCAGGACAGTGATTGACCAATCACAGCTCAGCAACAGTCACAGTCAGTCTCCTTATCATTTCTCCTCATGCTGAGATGGTATGCAGACAGATTATGAGACAAAAGGCTGCTGCTGGGCACAGAAAGATACCTCCACCTGCCCTACATAGGACACCAAGACTGAAAGAGACACGAAACAACCAGAAAGACACACAGAACAACCAGAAAGACACAAAACAACCACAAAGACACACAAAACAACCACAAAGACACAAAAAAAACCCCAGAAAGACATAAAACAACCACAAAGACACAAAACTAACACAAAGAGATAAAAAAGAGACACAAAACAACCACAAAAAAAATATATAAAACATTCCAATTGTTCTGTCTCTCTCTCTTCCTGTCTCTGTCTTTCTCTTTCTCTTTTCCTGTCTCTCTGTCTGTCAGCTGATAAGCAAGTTTCCTGTCTCTGGCTCTCTGCTGTTATTATTCTGCAGCAGACGGTTTAAATCAACTCTGATGGTCTGTTTTTACTGCTGTTGTCGCCATGGCGATAGAAACACATGGATAATATAAAAACATAAAACTTAATAAAGACAACCTGACTGACCTCACGGTCACATCTCAGCCCACCTAAAGGACGAGTCCTTTCAGACCATCTACTAGTGAAAAATGATGCACTTTGCTTATAGGCCACACAGAGGTTTACTTACTTACTTACTTGAACTTACTTCTCAAACATTTGGAAGGGAATTGGTCTGATAGACTTCTGGATTTTCCCTCTGCTTTTAATACAATCCAACCTCATATTTTAGCCTTTGGGAACCATCAAGTTTTCTCCTCCACTGGCTCCCCACAGGGATGGGTCTTTTCACCCGTTATTTATCCTCTACACAAACATATGTCAAAGCAGGTGGGAAAACAGAACCATTTTAAGTATGCAGATGACTGTTATTTTTTATTTTTCGCTGATTGGTTGTGTGACGTGCTACGGTAAGCGTACAGACTCATTTCCGGTTTACTTCCTGCTCTGTGTTCACTGTTTGGTGCTGTAGCTCTGTCAGTGAATGCTAAATCTTAACATTTATACGTAGTTCTTTTAGCGACTTTTTGCTATTTTCAAAAGTTTTTCATACACGCTAGCCTCATTAGCATTAGCAGTTAGCTATGGCTTCTCCCTCTCCCTCTCCTCTGTCCTGCTCAGTGTGTCAGACTATGATATTGATTTACTTTGTCTTTCTGAGACTTGGTTGTCCCACGAGGAGTATGTTAGCCTAAATGAATCCACCCCCCCCAGTCATATTAATACTCACATTCCTCGAGGCACAGGCCGAGGAGGTGGAGTGGCAGCCATATATGATTTGAGCGTTTTAATGGACCCTAAACCTAAACTAAATTATAATTCATTTGAAAGCCTTGTTCTTAGTCTTTCTCACCCAAACTGGAAAACACTGCAGCCAGTTCTATTTGTTATAGTGTACCGCGCTCCTGGACCGTACTCTGATTTTATATCTGAATTCTCAGAGTTTTTATCAAGTTTAGTCCTTAAATCAGATAAAGTAATTATTGTAGGTGATTTTAATATTCATGTGGATGTTAACAATGACAGCCTTAGTAATGCATTTATATCATTAATAGACTCAATTGGCTTCTGTCAGAGTGTAAATAAACCAACTCATTGTTTTAATCACACTCTTGACCTTGTTCTATCATATGGCATTGATATTGAACATTTAACAGTCTTCCCACATAATCCTTTCCTATCTGACCATTATTTAATAACTTTTGAATTCATACTATTAGATTATAAGCCATTAGGCAAAACTTCCTACAGCAGATGTCTATCTGACAGTGCTGTGGCTAAATTTAAGGAGGAGATTCCTTCAGTGTTTAATTCAATGCCATGTCTGAATTTAACAGAGTCCTATAACGACTTTAGTCCCTCTGAAATTGATAATCTTGTCGATAGTGCTACAGGCTCACTACGATCAACATTAGACTCTATCGCTCCTATAAAAAGGAAATTATTAAAACATAGGAGACTAGCACCTTGGTATAACCACCAGTTAAAACAAATAGCTAGGAAATCTGAAAGGAAATGGCGCTCTTCAAAATTATCAGAGTATCTCTCAATTTGGCAAGACAATCTTAAAATTTATAGAAAGGCCCTCCGTAATGCCAGAGGAGCCTATTACTCAGCACTAATAGAAGAAAATAAGAACAACCCTAGGTTCCTCTTCAGCACTGTAGCCAGGCTGACAGAGAGTCACAGCTCTTTTGAGCCACATATCCCCATAAACTTAAGTAGCAATGACTTCATGAGCTTCTTCTATAATAAAATTATTACTATTAGAGAGAAAATTAATCACCAACTGCCATCAACAGTTATCAGTGGCTCTCCAAGTTCAGGGACTTTTACTAATGTAAACTTAGATATATATTTAGACTGTTTTTCTGCTATCGATCTTCATCAGTTAACTTCAATAATTTCTTCATCAAAGCCATCAACCTGTCTATTAGACCCGATCCCAACTAGGCTGCTTAAAGAAGTTGTTCCCTTAATTGGCACTTCTTTACTGGATATGATTAATCTTTTTTCTTTTAGCCAACTATAGACCAATCTCTAACCTCCCCTTCCTCTCTAAGATTCTGGAGAAAGTAGTCGCCAAAGAGTTGTGTGACTTTCTACATAACAATAGTTTATTTGAGGATTTTCAGTCAGGATTTAGAGTTCATCACAGCACAGAGACAGCTCTGGTTAAAGTTAATAATGACCTTCTGATTGCTTCTGACAATGGATTTGTCTCTATACTTGTACTATTAGTGCTACATTTGACACCACTGACCATGATATTCTTTTACAGAGACTTGAGCATCAAATTGGCATTAAAGGAACCGCACTAAGCTGGTTTAAGTCATATTTATCAGATCGTTCGCAGTTTGTACATGTTAATTATGAATCTTCAATAAATACTACAGTTAGTCATGGAGTTCCACAAGGTTCTGTACTTGGACCAATACTATTTACTTAATATATGCTCCCTTTAGGCAACATTATTAGGAATCACTCCATTAACTTTCACTGTTATGCAGATGATACGCAGTTATATCTATCGATCAAGCCCGATGAAATTAATCAATTATCTAAATTACAAACATGTCTTAAGGACATAAAATCCTGGATGAGCTGCAATTTTCTGATGTTAAACGAAACGAAAACGAAACGAAATTCTTGTACTTGGCCCCCAAAACCTTAGAGACTCACTGTCTAAAGATATAGTTACTCTAGATGGCATTACCTTGGCCTCTAGCACCACTGTCAGGAATCTTATACTGTCAGGAGTTATCTTTGATCAGGACATGTCATTTAATTCCCACATAAAGCAAACCTCTAGGACTGCCTTCTTTCATTTACGTAATCTTACAAAAATTAGACACATCCTATCACAGACGGATGCAGAAAAACTAATCCATGCAATTGTTTTAAGAGTTCGGTCTAGACCTGCTCTATTTGAAAAGTGTCCTGAGATAACTTCTGTTATGAATTGGCGCTATACAAATAAAATTGAATTGAATTGAATTGAATTGTTACTTCTAGGCTGGATTACTGCAACTCCTTATTATCAGGCTGCCCCAATAAGTCCATTAAGACGCTCCAATTAATTCAGAACGCTGCAGCACAAGTACTGACAGGAACTAGAAAAAGAGATCATATCTCTCCTGTATTAGCTTCTCTGCACTGGCTCCCTGTAAAATGTAGAATAGAATTTAAAATCCTCCTCCTCACCTACAAAGCTCTTAATGGTCAGGCCCCTTCATAGCTTAAAGAGCTCATAGTACCCTATTACCCCACTAGAACACTGCGTTCTCTGAATGCAGGACTAGTTGTGGTTCCTATAGTCTCTAAAAGTAGAACAGGAGCCAGAGCCTTCAGTTACCAAGCTCCTCTCCTGTGGAACCAGCTTCCAGTTGTGGTTCGGGAGGCAGACACCCTCACCACATTCAAGAGTAGGCTTAAGACATTCCTCTTTGATAAAGCTTATAGTTAGGGCTGTATCAGGTGAGTCCTGAACCATCCCTTAGTTATGCTGCTATAGGCCTAGAGTATCGGGGGATATCCCATGGTGCACTGAGCTCCTCCCTTCCTCTCTCTTTCTGCACTCATTCATGTCCCACTAATGCATGTTACTAACTTCACTTCTTCCCCGGAGTTCTTGTGCTTTCTCGTCTCGCAGGTTCTCATGGATCCTGGTGGAGCCTCCTGCCATGGTCGTGCTTGACTGTCATTGCTAATATCACTGATATTATTGTTATTATTATTAATATTATTATTACTACAGTTACTATTATTACTGTTGTCACTGCTCATTGTCCCCCATCGTTGCTGTTGTTGTCGTCATCATCATCTTCTTCATGTTCATCATCATCAGTCACTACTATTAGTGTAGTTGTTGCTGCTGTTGTTGCTGTGCGTCTGTCTGTCTGTCTGTCTGTCTGTCTGTCTGTCTGTCTCTCTCTCTCTCTCACCCCAACTAGTCGAGGCAGACGACCACCCACATAGAGCCGAAGGGTCTGTCCTAGGTTTCTGCCTCTTAAAAGGCAGTTTTTCCTTGCCCCCGTCGCCAAGTGCTTGCTCATGGTGGAACTGTTGGGTCTCTGTAAATAATGTTTTAAGGAGTTCGGTCTAGACCTGCTCTATTTGAAAAGTGTCCTGAGATAACTTCTGTTATGAATTGGTGCTATACAAATAAAATTGAATTGAATTGAATTGAATTGAATTGAATTGAATTGACGGATCTGATGAACTTTTCAGTGTCGTTAAAATAATCACATACTCTGACAGATTTGTCAAAAGTTACATCCAGAAAATCAGTTATGTCGTCTAAAGAACATAGATCTGTGTTCCTGTTAGAACTTGACTGACGCCCTGTCCTTCCTGTGTGCTCACAGTGTTTCTGTCTGCACTGATGGAAGCTTCCTCAGTGTTGGCAGACTGAGAACTGCTCAGGTTCTCTGTAGCCACAGAGGCCTATTGCTCCTCAGGGTTGCTCTGTTCTACCATAGCCAAATCATTAGTGTTACAATGTAACCAGTGGAACCGGCTGCCAAACCCGGAACAGCGCGATCCACCGCAGGCGCTGCATCGGGCACGGACACGCTGGCAGTGTGCACAGACCTAAGAGTGAATCTATGTTTCTCTTATGATTATTGATTAGTTATTGATAAGAAAACACAAACTAAAATAAAATTAATCAGGTTTGAACTGAGCCTCCTGATGCAGGTACTGACTGTGTCCACCAGAGGTCAGTCCTGGCCAATCATCGTCATCTTTACTGCCTCACTCTGTCCTTCATCTCCTCACCGGCTGTGTGACGTCTCCATGTTCTTCATCATCATCATCATCATCATCATCATCATCATCATAATCAGAGGAAATATTTCCGTCTGATTATCATCAGGAGACACTGAATGAAGATTTTATTGTTGCTTGTTAAAATGTGTGGCTGAAGCTGTGAGATAAATGTAGTCCAGTAGACGTATAAAGGTTCATCAAATGGAAAGACTTCTAAAATATGATTCATTGTAAAATATTAAACTGACCAACAGTTTAAATGTTTATAAAGCAAGACAGACAGACAGTAGGACAGACAGATTAACAGACAGACAGACAGGCAGGTTTACAGACAGACAGACAGACAGACAGACAGTAGGACAGACAAGTTAACAGACAGACAGACAGACAGTAGGACAGACAAGTTAACAGACAGACAGACAGACAGGCAGGTTTACAGACAGACAGACAGACAGACAGACAGTAGGACAGACAAGTTAACAGACAGACAGACAGACAGTAGGACAGACAAGTTAACAGACAGACAGACAGACAGTAGGACAGACAAGTTAACAGACAGACAGACAGGCAGGCAGGTTAACAGACAGACAGTAGGACAGACAAGTTAACAGACAGACAGACAGACAGACAGTAGGACAGACTAGTTAACAGACAGACAGACAGACAGACAGTAGGACAGAGAAGTTAACAGACAGACAGACAGACAGACAGACAGACTCTCTCTGCAGGTCTCGCGACAGTTGATCCAACTCTCAGGTGTCTAAACATGAAGGTGTCGCACACGCGCCCTGTCTGCCGCCTCCCCGTGCCGTGGTTCATGCGCATGCGCAGTGCGCCCCAAGCTGAGAGTCGGAGAGACGGGGCTCGAGCGTCCGCACCGTTCAGCGAGCACCGGGAACAAAAACGGAATAAAACACCGATCTGCGGCGAGATCCAGCGTCCGGAGAGCAGCGAGCCCCGCGGACTGTGAGCAGGACCGCAGCGGGAGGAGAGCGGAGGCAGGCGGGGGTCGGTAGACCGGGAGCCTGCCTGTCTGTCCGCCTGCAGACGGTAAGACAAAGCGGAACGAAGCTGCTGCTTTCACACAGCGTTTAAACACCGGATCACAGTGCTGGATTCTCTTAAAATGAGCGATTATCAAACGGAGTTCTGAATGTAGAGAGAACTGAGGACGGAGGACGGAGGACTGAGGACGGAGGACTTGGCCGTGTGAAGGTCCAGATGTTGGCCTGCTGATGATGCTCCGTGTTCTGACAGACAGCAGACACACTGACAACACTGTCCCTGACAGACTGAACCCAGGGCTGCACTGAAGGGCTGCACTGAAGGGCTGCGGAGGACAGACTGAGGGGACATTTAGAGACAGAACAAAGCACTCTGAGGTGGGAGACAGAAATATAATTAACAGTAACTGATATTGAGGACAGAGACACACTAAGACATTAGGGACATGGACATTAACAATAGATTCTTCAGGTACAATAATGACACAGATTACAGGACAACTTGGACAATATTAAGATATATCGACATAAAGAGACATAAAGACATACGCTAACAATAAAATGACGTTTTGGAACAACAGGAGACATTTGAGGACAGATTGTAACAGTCGGACATTTTTATAGTCTAATGTAATATTCAAAAGACATAAAGAAAACAAAGAGACAAACAACCTTTAGGAGAACATCAACTGATTAAGACATACTGTAAGACAGTATTCAGGGACATACAGAGACATTTTGGAACATTTCAAATTAAAAACAAGACATTGAATTTCTCCTACGATCAATAAAAGTTCATCTGATCTTATCTGGTCTGATCTTAGTGGACGGACAGAAATCAGATCTTTGAAAGACATAAAGGAAGACAGAGACAGAAAACCTTTTCTGAGGACATTAAGAGACAGAAACTGACATCAAAATCAGACTTTGATGATAAAGAGACATTTTACAGGATGCTGATTAACCCCGTAGAGTTCAGTGTTTGTGTAATGACTGTCACTGCCAGTAGGGGGACAAACGCTCCTCACTGCAGTAGAGCTGATATCTCTGTATTGATTATAATGTATATATCTCTTTCTGATATCTCTGTATTTATTATAATGTGTATATCTCTCTCTGATATTACTGTATTGATTATAATGTGTATATCTCTCTGATATTACTGTATTGATTATAATGTGTATATCTCTCTGATATTACTGTATTGATTAGAACCAAATCAGCAGTAATGATTGTGAATCAGAACAAGCAGTAACACAGTGTAACGCCTCACAGTCTGGTTGTTCAATAACTTCCAACTTCACTGAAACTAATCTTGTCTGATCGATACGGTGGATGATGGATAACGTTAACAGTTACTTACGGATTACTACACAGTCCATTCCAGAGACAGAGCGTTCCTATTGGCTGTTATCGCAGGGTGGTCGCCTCCTGTGGGCGGGGCGTAGCAGAGGGATACAGGGCAGCAGAGACAGGTGGTAGTTTTAAGAAATGTTGAGGACAAGACAAAAACGTCCTCGAGGTTATTAATGACTCTGAAAACATAGTTTTAGGACAAAGAGACATAAAGACCCTCTACAGGAGGACAGCAGTTGTTGGACTAACAGACTCTTTTTTTTCTTCCTAACAGTTTGGATGTAACAAGGACTGAAAGGACGACATGACGTCCCCAAGGTGGACCCGACTCCCTGTCCCGTTGGTCCTAGTCCTGTTCCAGGTTCTAGTCCTGGTCCTGTCCCGCTCGGTGACTGCGGCTCGCTCTGACAGAAACATGGTGTCAGAGGAGTATGTGGGCGCCACAGTGAACGCCACGGTGCAGGATAGACGAGGAAACACCGTCCACGCGATGAGCAGCGACGATGGGAAGTATGGACAGAACTCACCAAAAGTCGACACCAGGGGCGTTGTCATCGTTCCGGTGGCGCATCACGGAGGTACTGACATCACAGCCTAAGGTCACAACTAGGGATGTGCCAGATTACTACTGCCCCCCATCCCTGCACTAATGCCCCCCGTCCCTGCACTACTGCCCCCCCGTCCCTACACTAATGCTCCCCCACCCTGTACTACTGCCCCCGCTGGTTTTTAGAGTCCTCTTTGTCCCACCTTAGAAGTTCTAGTCCAACATTTGAGAGATTGGTCAGGGACAGAGATTGGTCAGGGACAGAGATTGATCAGGGACAGAGATTGATCCGAGACAGAGATTGATCCGAGACAGAGATCGATGAGGGACAGAGATTGTTCAGGGACAGAGATTGTTCAGGGACAGAGATTGATCAGGGACAGAGATTGATCCAAGACAGAGATCGATCCGGGACAGAGATTGTTCAGGGACAGAGATTGATGAGGGACAGAGATTGATCAGAGACAGAGATCAATCAGGGACAGAGATCGATCAGAGACAGAGATTGATCAGGGACAGAGGACAGAATGACCAGCTTACAGCATCACAGTATGTCACACTGTCTGATACGTATCGTACAGCCCTACTGTCTAATGTGTGCAACAGGATATAGCAGGTAGCTAACAGACACTGGCTGTGTGTTTACATTATTTTTATTGTGATCAGTTTTGTTTCTTACTGTCATTATTTTCTAGTCGACTGTTCTAAATTGAAATCTTTGTTTAATCAAAGCAAGACCACAGGTTTACTTTTTACTCATTCACTTTGATAATGAATCAGTTTGTGTCTGTATCAGAGGAAACTCTGTGTTTAGGTTCGTCAGCACATTTGGAATCAAAGTCAAACTGCAGAAGTCACTACTGAGAGTACAGACAGCAGAGGACTCTGAGGTCTTTTTCAGGTTGTTGCAGTGAATGAAAGCAGTTCTAGTACATAACATTTCAATTGGCCCTGAGGGTGTACAGTCTTAGGAAAGCCCAGTTTGTAGCCGTGTGATGTTCTTTAATGGAGGTGAGGTTAGCTAGAAGTTAACCAGACGTACATTTAATAAAAGAACCAGTTCATCTTTATCACTGACGTATTTTATCTTGTAAAAACACTTGAAAAATAAATCTCACCCTTTGTGTCACTTGTCCAAGTCAGTTTTCTGGTGTGACATCTTCTTCACCTCATTGAACTCCCAGAACTGTAATGTGCTCATTACTGCCCCCTGACGCTTGAGGGCAGAAAACACCCACTAGTCCTTGAAGGTTAGTGAGATGGCAGTTTTAATGGCTCTTCTCCAAATGGCCACAAGAAGCAACAGTGAGCTCATTGCACACTCAAACACAAACTTCCAGTGACACAAAGGTCAGATTTAAATAACAGAACTTTTTTAGATTTAAAGGTATCCAAAACTAAAATAATGAATAACACACATACCATCCTCCAGCAGTCATTCATGAGACAAGATTTAGTGAATATACAGATGTGATTATGTAAAATACTGTTGCTTCTCTGGAACTAATATGATGTAACAGATGTTGTGGGTGTTGTGGATGTTATGGGTGTAACTTCAAGTGTTGCCAAGTGGGACCTGAGCCATATGACCTCCTCTCCACGATGGAGACCTGGAAGAAAACAGGCCACAGAGAGAGAGAGACGGAGAGAGATCTAAAAAGAGAGGGTACGAGAAACTCAAAAGGCAAAAAACAGATGGTTACAAAAGTGCAGCAGATATTGACAGAAAGTAGTAGATGCAGTGGATGCAGTGGATGTAATGGATGCAGTAGGTGTAGTAGATGCAGTGGATACAGTGGATGTAATGGATGCAGTAGGTGTTGTAGATGCAGTAGGTGTAGTAGATGCAGTGGATGTAATGGATGCAGTAGGTGTAGTAGATGCAGTAGGTGTAGTAGATGCAGTAGGTGTAGTAGATGCAGTAGGTGTAGTAGATGCAGTAGGTGTAGTAGATGCAGTAGGTGTAGTAGATGCAGTGGATGTAATGGATGCAGTAGGTGTAGTAGATGCAGTGGATGTAATGGATGCAGTAGGTGTTGTGGATGCAGTAGGTGTAGTAGATGCAGTAGGTGTAGTAGATGCAGTAGGTGTAGTAGATGCAGTGGATGTAATGGATGCAGTAGGTGTAGTAGATGCAGTGGATGTAATGGATGCAGTAGGTGTAGTAGATGCAGTGGATGCAGTAGGTGTAGTAAATGCAGTAGGTGTATTACATACAGTGGATGCAGTAGATGCAAATGCAGTAGGTGTAGGAGATGCAGTAGATGCAGTAAATGCAGTAGGTGTAGTAAATGCAGTAGTAAATGCAGTAGATGCAGTAGATGCAGTGGATGCAGCAGATGCATTAGATACAGTAAATGCAGTAGATGCAGTAGATGCAGCAGATACATTAGATACAGTAATTGCAGTAGATGCAGTTGATGCAGTGTTGAGGCTCTGCAGAGGCTTTCAGGCTGCGTTCAGGCTGTTGAAGGTCGGAGCGTCTCGGCTCTGAAGTGTCAGATTACAGTCAGACGGTCCAAGGACACTGCAGCTGCTGGACGGAGCTCCAACTGTCTGCAGCATCTTATTAAAGCTCAGTAACACTGAACTCTACTGTGTGCTTCAATGTGCTCTGATTTAAACTGATGGTCTCAGATAAATAAATACTTTATTCATCCTAATGCAGCTTTACAGAAAACCCAACAAATGAAACAACGAAAAGCCAGATTATAACCAATATCAGTAAAAACTAATAGAATAAATAATACATTTTAGTTTGAACTCAATGAGAATATTTGAATAAAACCTGCAACAAAACAATTTTATAACGAGAAAAATATTATTGAATGAAAACATCATTATAGAGGTCTCTTTAGTTTGTCAACTTACAAAATGCAACAAAATTTTATAATGTATTCATTACATCTGTTTACACACCGAATCATTCACAGCCTGTTTGTAATGGAACTTAGCTCTTCCTCTCCTGTAGTTCAACTGAAATGATGAAAAAGTTGATTTTAGATTCACATTTACATTGAAAACAACAAAAGCAGCTCGAGTTAACACGTCTGTGGGTTTCCTCCCTCCATCCAAAGACATTCAGGTTGCTTGGAGACTCTAAAGTGGTTGAGGATGGGCTCCAGCCCTCCTGTGAATGCACTGCTGCTGACAGGATGGATGGATGGAGAGATGGACAGTCGGTCGATGAGAAACTGTAGAGTCTTGTACAAAAGGAGTGAACGAAGAGCGATTCCCTACTGTATATAACACATGGTGCGAATGACCCGGGCAGAGCAAAGCATGCTGGGATGGTGATAGTGATTCTTTCCAAATAAAAGCTCTTTATTCAAAGTGCTTTAATATGTTAAAAAGTAAATACAGCACAAAGTAACCATGGTAACACTGTGTCTCCTCAGTGGTGGACCGGCAGGGCTGTGACCCCGGTACTCGTTTCCTGGTCCCCCCTCGGGTTGGCCACTGGGTGGCGCTGCTGCAGAGAGGCAACTGCACCTTTAAAGAGAAGATCCTTAACGCGGCAGCCTCCAACGCCACGGCCGTCCTCATCTACAACAACTCCACAGACGAGACGGTCAAGATGGGACACGAAGGTCAGAGTCTAACGCAGCGCTGACACTGCGATTTCTCCAACAGATAACGTCTCCTTACAGTGGGAGGTGGGGGACGAAACCTTCACTGTGTATAACATCACTGTAATATAATATATTGTGTATAATCAGCTGAAAATAAGAATGGTTGCCTTTTCATTGAGTACACTGCTAACAGAGCTGCTAACAGAGCTGCTAACAGCTCATTCAGCAGACTTTAATGGAGACTGACTCAGGTGTGCTCCACAGGTGTGGTTTAATACTAGGTTTGTGTGAGAGGAAAACAACAATACTGACCTCTGCAGACCGGGAACCCCCCACAAGAGCTGCAGGTTTGGAGATGTTCTGACCCAGTCATTCATCACAATGTGGTTCTTGTCAAAGTGGATCAGATCCTCACTCTGCACATGTTTCCTGCTTCTAACACATCAATGTGTTAGAGCTGATCACTGTAGATCTATATAGAAAGAGATATCAGCTCTTAGTTGTCTTTAGGTTCATCGCTACCAGAGACACCAAACACTTCATACAAATAGCTTAGCATAAAGACTGGAAACAGATAGCTTATCTTAGCATAAAGACTGGAAACAGATAGCGTGGAATCTTTAAATGTGACTGAGAGGAGGAGGAAGAGGAGGAAGGTGTGTGCGTGAGGAGTGACTTCCTGGGCATCGATGTGGAGTTCTAAATATAGACAGGAATGTGTCATTAATTGATGAGGTCACTGTGACCTCACACTGTGTGTGTGTGTGTGTGTGTGTGTGTGTGTGTGTGTGTGTGTGTGTGTGTGTGTGTCAATGTTATGGTGCTGAATGTCAGAAAGCAGAAATAACAACAATAACAATACACTTTTTTCTTTGTGTCAAACTACATTCTGTGTTCATCGTGACGGACAGTATGGACTGTTGCATCATGGGAGCTACAGTTCTCACACTGCAGTACAGTCTCCTGGTCCTGGTTCTGATTGTCCTTCTGTTTCTGGTTCTGATCCTGATCCTGTCTGTGCAGGAACTGGTGACACGGTGGCGGTGATGATCACGGAGGCGTATGGTAAAGAGATCCTGGCTCACCTAGAGAGGAACCTGACGGTCCTGGTGTCAGTGGTGGTGGGTCAACGTGGTCCCACCAAAAACATCAACCGAGGCTCGCTGGTCTTCGTCTCCATCTCCTTCATCGTCCTCATGATCATCTCGTCGGCCTGGCTCATCTTCTACTTCATCCAGAAGATCCGCTACACCAGCGCCCGCGACCGCAGCCAGGTAATACAGTGCTAACACAGTGCTAACAAGCTAACATACAGCTAACATGCCAACTCCTCCTCCTCCTCTCCCTCTCACCTCCTCTTCTTCCTTCTCCTTGTTGTCCAGATGAATTATTAATAATTAATGAGGTGAATCTCTGCTGAAAGTTTAATGGAGAGAGGGTGCTCACCTCCCCTCTCCTCCCCCTCAGTGTAATCTAACCATCCTCTCAGGACTCTGTCTCCCCCTCCTCCCCCTCTCCATCTGCTACCGATCAACCTTCAGTTCACCTCCTGCAGTCTCACTTTGAGTCTGTCACAGAATCAGCAGTAAACACAGCTGAGGCTGATGGGAAATTTCACTATAACCCACTGACTATAACATCCTCTGACCCCTGTAGTACAGTACCAGTACAGAACCAGTACAGAACCAGTACTCTATTAGTACTGTACTAATAGAGTACTGGACTCCTCCTACAGGCAGTAGTAGTATTCAGAGTACCAGAGAACCCTCACCCTTGTTTGTTTTCTATATTTTGGTCAATTTCTCGCAGTACGTGTGATAGAGAACAACTTTCCCACGTTAGATTGTTGGTGGACACTTTTTCAGCTGTTTGATTATCAGCTGTCATGTTACCTGTTGCTGTACCTGGAAGATGGAGGAAACATGCAGTCAGTGGATAAGAAGCTGGATCTGTGAGCAACCTCCTCCTGAATGTCAGCACAGCAGAGTTGATTGAAGACTACAGGAAGTGACAGGAGAGGACACGCCCCCATGAACGGGACTTCAGTAGAGAGTCAGCAACTTCAGGTTCCTCTGGGTTCACGTCAGCGAGGACCTGACCTGGACTCACCACCCTGACATTAGTGATTATCTGGTATTTTGAGATAATCGGTGTGAGCTGAAATCTGTGGTCACAAGGCAGATAAACAAAAAAATCTGCTGAACGATGTCAGTGCTCTCCTTTGTGAGTTTAGACTCTGAGTTTAGACTGCGACCCCCTCGCATCAATCAGCACAGAGCAGATCGCACTGTCAAGAAGTCAGACACAGAAACAGCATGGAGAAGCCGCTTAATTTTCAAAAAAAATACTGTGTGAAGACTTCATATTGAATTTCACGCTACATCAACATTGTGACACCAGACAGGAAGACCCCTCACCAGAAACTCATAAAATCCACTGATGAAGTAATAAGATTTACTCGCATTCAAATTCATCCAAATTCCTTGGAACGTTTTTGGAAAAAGTGACATTAAATCCCAGAAGGTGAAAACTGGAGGACGTCTAGACCCAGCAGTGCAGGAAGAGGGCCATTTGGATCCTCAGAGTCCCCAACCATCCCAACCTCAAACTGGTCTAAACTGCATCCTGTTCTTACCTATCTATGACTCATTAAACATTTACTACATTACTGCAGGAGCTGTCTGTCTTCCTGTCGGCTGTTACAGCAGCACATTGACGTCCATCGTATCTGATTTACGTTACACTGTTACATATGTTCACATGCAATGTGTCCTCGCTCTGTCTCTTAGCGTCGTCTTGGTGATGCAGCGAAGAAAGCTATCGGGAAGTTGACCACAAGGACGGTGAAGAAAGGAGACAAGGTAAAGATTTTTCTCTCCATCCTTATCCACCTTTCTGTATCCTGCTCTTCATTAAAAGCTGACAGAAACCTCCAGATGGACTGACAGAGACCTCCAAACGGACTGACAGAAACCTCCAGATGGACTGACAGAGACCTTCAGACGGACTGACAGAGACCTTCAGATGGACTGACAAGAGACCTCCAAACGGACTGACAGAAACCTCCAGATGGACTGACAGAGACCTTCAGACGGACTGACAAGATACTTCTAGACGGACTGACAGAGACTTCAAGACGGACTGACAGAGACCTCCGAACGGACTGGCAGAAACCTCCAATTGGACTGACCGAGACCTTCAGATGGACTGACAGAGACCTTCAATGCGACAGAGACCTTCAGACTACACCCGATACTACAAAGACCTCCAAACGGACTGACAGAAACCTCCAGATGGACTGACAGAGACCTTCAGACGGACTGACAAGAAACTTCTAGACGGACTGACAGAGACTTCAAGACAGACTACAGAGACCACACGGCAGAAACCCAATTCTACAAAACCTCCAGATGGACTGACAGAACACACAAGAAACTCTACTACAAGAAACTTCTAGACGGACTGACAAGATACTTCTAGACGGACTGACAAGATACTTCTAGATGGACTGACAGAGACCTCCGAACGGACTGGCAGAAACCTCCAATTGGACTGACAGAAACCGCCAGATGGACTGACAGAGACCTTCAGACGGACTGACAAGATACTTCTAGACGAACTGACAGAAACCTCCACATGGACTGACAGAAACCTCCAGACGGACTGACAAGATACTTCTAGAAGGACTGACAGAGACCTCCAGAAGGAATGACAGAGACCTCCGAACGGACTGACCGAAACCTCCAAATGGACTGACAGACCTTCAGACGGACTGACACGATACCTAGTCTAGACGGACTGACAGAGACCTCCAAACGGACTGACAGAAACCTCCAGACGGACTGACAGAGACCAGAGCCCTGAGGAGACATATTGAACCTGTTTAGTTTCCGTGTCCATACAGACACAGCTAACACTTTCTGTGATAAATGGTGGGCAGTTGGACCCAGAGGTTTCAGATATTTATGTTGCTGACCTTCAGGCTGTTGATGAAACAGTGATGGATGTTCACTGACACAAAGGTCAGAGGTCACAGGATGATGGTGAGGAAAGATAAAGCTGATGGGGATGAAAATATAAATCAGATCTGAAGAAGAGACAGCTGAGAGCAATTAAAAAAGGTTCTCAACCATGTGTGTCTGTTGAGACCTGCAGGAGACAGTAACCATATGTAACCAGTTAATAATCTGTAACAGTTAATAATCTGTAACAGTTAATACACAGGAACCAGTTAATAATCTATAACAGTTAATAATCTGTAACCAGTTAATAATCTGTAACAGTTAATACACAGTAACCAGTTAATAATCTGTAACAGTTAATAATCTGTAACACTTGATACACTGTAACCAGTTAATAATCTGTAACAGTTAATAAACAGTAACCAGTTAATAATCTATAACAGTTAATAATCTGTAACCAGTTAATACACTGTAACAAGTTAATAATCTGTAACCAGTTAATACACTGTAACCAGTTAATAATCTGTAACAGCTATTAATCTGTAACAGTTAATACACTGTCACCAGTTAATACACTGTCACCAGTTAATACACTGTAACCAGTTAATAATCTGTAACAGCTATTAATCTGTAACAGTTAATACACTGTCACCAGTTAATACACCGTCACCAGTTAATAATCTGTAACCAGTTAATAATATGTAACCAGTTAATAACCTGTAACAGTTAATAATCTGTAACCAGTTAATACACTGTAACCAGTTAATAATCTGTAACAGCTATTAATCTGTAACAGTTAATACACTTTAACCAGTTAATACACTGTAACCGGTAATACACTGTAACCAGTTAATAATCTGTTACAGTTAATACACTGTAACCAGTTAATAATCTGTAACAGTTAATACACTGTCACCAGTTCATAATCTGTAACCAGTTAATACACTGTAACAGTTAATACACTGTAACCAGTTAATAATCTGTAACAGTTAATACACTGTCACCAGTTAATAATCTGTAACCAGTTAATACACTGTAACCAGTTAATAATCTAAAACCAGTCAATAATCTGTAGCAGTTAATACACTGTAACCAGTTAATAATCTGTAACAGTTAATAATCTGTAACCAGTTAATAATCAGTAACACTTAATACACTGTAACCAGTTAATAATCTCTAACAGTTAATACACAGTGACCAGTTAATAATCTATAACAGTTAATAATCTGTAACCAGTTAATTATCTATAACAGTTAATACACTGTAACCAGTTAATAATCTGTAACAGTTAATAATCTGTAACAGTTAATAATCTGTAACAGTTATTACACTGTCACCAGTTAATACACTGTAACCAGTTAATAATCTGTAACCAGTTAATAAACTGTAACCAGTTAATAATATGTAAGCAGTTAATAATCTGTAACAAGTTAATAATCTGTAACCAGTTAATAAACTGTAACCAGTTTAAATCTGTAACAGTTAATAATCTGTAACAGTTAATAATCTGTAACCAGTTAATAATCTGTAACAGTTAATACACTCACCAGTTAATACACTGTCAACAGTTAATAATCTGTAACAGTTAATACACTCACCAGTTAATACACTGTCACCAGTTAATAATCTGTAACCAGTTAATGATATGTAACCAGTTAATAACCTGTAACAGTTAATAATCTGTAACAGTTAATAATCTGTAACCAGTTAATACACTGTAACCAGTTAATAACCTGTAACAGTTAATACACTGTAACCAGTTAATAATCTGTAGCAATTAATAATCTGCAACAGTTAATAATCTGTAACCAGTTGATAATCTGTAACCAGTTAATACACTGTAACCGGTAATACACTGTAACCAATTAATAATCTGTAACAGTTAATACACTGTAACCAGTTAATACACTGTCACCAGTTAATACACTGTCACCAGTTAATAATCTGTAACCAGTTAATACACTTTAACCAGTTAATAATCTGTAACCAGTTAATACACTGTAACCAGTTAATAACCTGTAACAGTTAATACACTGTAACCAGTTAATAATCTGTAGCAATTAATAATCTGCAACAGTTAATACACTGTAACCAGTTAATAATCTGACCAGTTAGTTAACAGACTAACCAGTTAGTGAGGAAACAGCTGAACAGAAAACAAGTTTCACTCTAATTTTATGTTTTAAACAACAATAATGAATATTGTTGGACAGCTGGTATAGATATTGTTGTAGTGGACATTAATGTCTTTCTGTGTGTTGCAGGAGACGGATCCAGATTTCAACCACTGTGCAGTGTGTATTGAAGCGTACCAGCTGAACGATGTGGTTCGGATTCTGCCCTGCAAGTGAGTCTGAACCACCAGCAGTTTCCACAGGGTTCTCATACTGTAACAAATACCAGACACTGTGCAGACCAGTATCAGCAGTCAGACCAGTATCAGTACTGGTCCAGCTCAGACTCTCTGTGTTCTACAGATTAAAACTGGTCCTTCAGGTTGAGTCCTGATAGATGATCCATCAGATCCATCAGGTCCATGAATCTGTCCCATCTGACAGTTTGATGGTCAGCTGATAAAAATGTCTCCGTCTCTCTGCAGACATGTCTTCCATAAAATGTGTGTGGACCCCTGGCTGAATGAGCACTGCACCTGTCCCATGTGTAAACTCAACATCCTCAAAGCTCTGGGCATCATGGTGAGTCCCATTAATGTCCCCAGTATGTCCCACTAATGTCCCAGTTTAATAACAATGATTTACAACCTCTGCTATCAATCAATAGTCCTTTGTCTTCCAGATGTGTGATTATTTTAGGACTGTCAGTGTCCAACCACTTCTCAATAGACCCTACTACGCTATAGACCACCTACGCTATCTCTCAGAATCCTACAGAAAACTGTCTCAGACCAGTTCTTAGTAGTCTTTATCAGGTGCTATAGAAATAGTCATTATTGTTGTTGTTTTTTTTGTTGTTGTTATGATTGTTTTTGTTATTCTTCTGTCCTCTGTCCTCAGACCAGTCTTCCCTGCGTGGACAGCGTGGTGTTGGACGTGGAGCGTCTGGGCGTCAGTCAGGCGTCCGGCAGTCAGAGGGCACCACTGAGCGACAGCAACCAGCCGTCCATCAGCCTGGCACCGCTCAGTCCCCCCCATGCTGAAGCCACGCCCAGAACACCTGCTGACATCACCATCGCTGTGACCAGTAAGAATGCAGCACCACATGAGGAACTTTACACTGTCTTAAAGCAACTTTACACTGTCTTAAAGCAACTTTACACTGTCTTAAAGCAGCTTTACACTGTCAGAGCAACTTCACACTGTCACTGAGTCATAGAGCACATAGAACATAGAGTCTTAACTTTACTTTTGTAAACTTTAGTCCTGATATAGATGTCATTATGTCACAGGTACAAAGCTTAACTAAAATGTAACTGAAGTATTGGCATCTCTGGTATCAATTATAGGACATTTAATGACAACTTTTTATTTACATTGAGCAACTTATCAGTGTCATAAAGCATCAGCTTCTCACTGTACAGTGAGTTCTAAACTAAAACAGCAACTTTACTGTTGGAAACTTTATACAATATTATCTGAGTCATCATGAGGAAATATAAGGACTTTTTATGTAAAAGTTATAAATGTAAAAAAAAATTTTTTCGTCAGAGTTAAAATGGTGAGAGTGAGAAACGTCCTCTTGATTCCTTTGTATCTCTGGTGCATGTGAAGTAATTGACATTAAAGTTGACTTGACCAGTCATAATTCACGAACAGAAAGTCGTTATAACACACCACCCGAACCCACTGCTAGCTGTTACTAAACAACTGATTGACTATTGTTGTATGACTAATATTGTGCATATTATGGTGTGATTTTTTCCAAACAAAAACAATAATAATAACAATAATTGATAAATAATCTGTTTTTGTTTTAAGGTGGCTGTTGACTGATGTTGTTTCTCCTCAGGCGGCGGCCATTTCTTTAACAGGAACTCGATGTCTCCGCGTAGCGTCGTCTGTGAGATGGAGCTGCCGGACATCCAGGCCTCGCTCGACCTCTACGACGACAACAAGTCCTGAGGCCCATTGCCATGGTTGTGACCCCCCTCCCATCACCACCACCTCCACCGACTGATGGACCGATGACCTTTTATGGACGCAGAAAGTGTTCACAAAGTGTTTCCTGTCTGGAGGGGGATCTGATCTTTTAAACATAATTTATTCCATCAGACTTTCTTCAGACTTTCTTCAGACTGAACCTGGTCTGGATCCCGGTCTCAGTTTAGACCCGTTAGCTCGACACTCTCATGTTTTTATTTGCCCTAGAAGAAGAAAAACTTTGGAGGTCTTGGAGCTGGTAGCTGGGTCAAATCATTAAAAATATGTTTTAAAACAGAGAACTGAACTTCAGATCCAAGTCCAGCCCAGGAACCAGAACTGCGTACCTCTGGTAAAACTGGAGGTAATGTTGTTGAGCACCCAGAAAAGTTCCTGGAGAAGTAAAAGCGCCCTTGTGTTCTTGGAAAACTTCCTGAATTTCTTAATTATTGGAAAGGTCCTGAGTTCCTAAAAAGGTTCCAGAGTTTTTGTAAAGTTTCAGGGCTCCATACAAGGATCCTGGAACAGTTTCTGAGTACCTTAAAAGGCTCCTCTACAAAGTTCCTGGATTCTAAGATGTTCTATAAAGACTTTCCTTAGTTTCAGCTTCCCAGATTCCATAAAAAGGCTGAAACATTTATTGGATTCTAAAAAAGCTTTTGGAAAAGTTTTGCAGATCCTAAAAAGGTTCCTTGGTTCTGGAAAAGGTTTCTGTAATACTTATTCAAAAAGTTTTTAACCCCTTCCTGTAATGCGGTTCTGTAAATGTCCCTAAGGTTCTGGAAACATTTCTGGGGTATTGGGTTCTCGCAGTCCTTTGTACCTAAAAAAGGTTCCTGGAAAAGTTCCTGAGTGCCTAAATACTTTCTGGAAAGGTTCTTAAAATGGTTCTGTGGTTTCCTGGAACAGTTCTTGAGGTCCTAAAAATGTTTTGAAACATTTCTTCCTAAAAAAGTTCCTGAAATGATTATTGAGGTTCTGAAACGGTTCCTGGAAAGGTTCCTGAGTGCCTAAAGGGTTCCTAGAAGGGGTTTTTTTTAACCTGTGCTCCTAGAAGAGTTTCTAATGTTCTCAAAAGGTTCCATGGTTTCCTGGAAAAGTTCCCGAGCTCCTAAAAAGCTTTAGGAAACATTTCTTCCATCAAAGGTTCCTGAAATGGTTCTTGAGGCTTCAAAAAGGTTCCTGGTGTAAACATATGTACCTGAGACTATCCTACCTGAATCCAAATGGATCTGAGAAGAACCAGAACCCAGAAAACGTTCCTGTGTTCAGTGTTTTCTGATGTTCTATGTTCAGTCAGTCGTAACTCTGTAACCCGACCCTCTGAGTGGCTGAATGAAGATTACGTCATTAACAGACTGGACTCCTGTCAGAGTCGGGAGTCTGTCTGAAGACCTGGACCTGGATCAGAACTTCTTGACTGTAAACACTGACTGAGTTGGTTCTTCCTGTCTATCATGAGACAGGAACCAGGACAAGAGGAACCCAGGTCCTTTCTGGAGGAAACAATCATGTGAACATTAAAGTGTTAACTACCCTGTAGCTGTTTCTCTGTAGAACAAAGAGACGTTAGATTTAAAGGAACAGTCCAACATTTCAGTAAACTTCCTGTTCTCTCTGCTGGAGTTCTACAGGGAGGCGTCCTGGGTCCTCTGCTCTTCTTCTTGAACCTTTATAGAGATTTAAATGTGAGTCCATCAACATGTTTGAAACACTGTTGTTCTCATCTCAGATGAGTAGCCTAGCTTAGCAAAAAGTCTGGAAGCAGGGGGAAACGGTTAGCACGGTAAGCTTAGCTCCAGATAAAGGTAAAATTAACCCTAATTTGCATCTGGTTAGCTAAAGGCTGGTCAGCAGTCCATCCTGTAGTCAGCTGGTTAAATTGACAGAAGGTCCCCAGGCCTGTGAGCCAATGAGATGAGAATGAAGTCACTTCCTGTACTGACACAAAAACCCAGTAGGTTCACTTTCATCAGCTTTTTATTGCTCAGAAGTCAAGTTTCCATCCAAATGAAACTCAGTCAGGAGTCAAAGTTTGATTGATTGGATGATAACAGCTGGTTGAGATGATTCTCCTTTCGGTGCCATTAAACCATTGCAGAAGAAGACACAATGAGATGATGAGGTCAGTAAAAGACCTCCAGTCAAAGGTCAAATGATGGAAATCAGACACATGGTCAGTCTCCTCATCGCTCCACACAGACACAATGTTTTCAGCTCTTCATTTTAAGGCTGCAGTCACTAAAAGACAGTTCATTGTTGAGTCAGGTTGTCAAAAAATGACGCTTTGGGACCAGGGAATGAGATTCAACAATTAACTGTCTTCTCGGCTCTGATTGGTTAAATCCAGATATTCTGGTCCATTGGAACCATATGCCACAAAGCTTATCAATGCCGGCATTTGTTTGTCTGACAGTTGCACATTGTAAAACAATGATGTCAAACTCATGGGTCAGCTGCTGGAAACTAGTAACAAGAAGGATGGTGATGGTGGAGAGGAAGAAACGGCCCAAAGTGTGGCTCCATTTGACAAAGAAACTCAAACTACTAGAACTACTATAACGGTGTGTTCAGACACAGAGAATAAAACAGTTGCGTTGATGCCTAAAACCTCTCTTGGCCGACTGTTTTTCACACAGAAACTAAAATTTTACTAATTGGCTAATCTACATCAGTTGTTAGCTAGCTAGTTCCATCTGATCTTTATTGGAGCACAGAGCAGGAAGAGGCAGAGTTTAGATAGGGTCAGTTACTGTCAGCTTCAATTAATCTGCTGATTATTTTCTCCATTGTTTGGTCAGGAAACAGTGAAACATGCCGTTACAGTTTGTTGACCAACAGTTATTAATATGAAAGAGAACAAAAAACATAAAATCTGACACCTGAAGATGCTGAAACCATAAAATGTCATTAATCAATAATCAGCTGTTACCTGACAAACATAACAAAGTACAAACTATACCATCTAACTAAATTAAGTAACTGAATGTTGATCCATTGTGTTACTTAAAGGTGTAGGGTATGTGACGCTCCTGCTTTCTCTCTTCCTATTGGCTCAGAGTCCTCAGGTGTGTGATGCTACCTGCTGCTAACCTGTCTGTGTTTGCTAAAGTGAGGGGCTGCTCCTTTAAAGTGTATTAAACAGCTTCTGAATACTCAGCGTGTAATAATCAGCTCCAGTTATGGGGCTCAATATATAGACAGCATTATACAATCTATAACCTGACCGATCGATCAATATCTATCTCTGAAGTGACCTGAACTTGTCCTGATGGAGTCCTGAGGACCCATCTGTCTCTGTCTGTCTGTCTGTCTGTCTGTCTGTCTCTGTGTCACATGGTACTGATGATGATGATAATGATGATGATGATGATGACAATGATGATGAAGGAGGATGTGTGTGATGCTTTCAGTTCACTGTGTCTCTTACTGCCTCAGCATTAAAGTGTCATTATTGCCTTTAACATGCAGGAGTCTCACTTTATTTATAGTCAGTGGTATTAATACACACATTGTGTATGGATATACACATTAACTAATAATTATACTAATAATAATAATAACACTAATATCACTGATATTGGCAACGGCAATCTAGCAGGACCATGGCAGGAGGCTCCACCAGGATCCATGAGAACCTGCGAGACGAGAAAGCACAAGAACTCCGGGGAAGAAGTGAAGTTAGTAACATGCATTAATGGGACATGAATGAGTGCAGAAAGAGAGAGGAAGAGAGGAGCTCAGTGCACCATGGGAAATCCCCCGATAGTCTAGGCCTATAGCAGCATAACTAAGGGATGGTTCAGGACTCACCTGATCCAGCCCTAACTATAAGCTTTATCAAAGAGGAATGTCTTAAGCCTACTCTTGAATGTGGAGAGGGTGTCTGCCTCCAGAACCACAACTGGAAGCTGGTTCCACAGGAGAGGAGCTTGGTAACTGAAGGCTCTGGCTCCTGTTCTACTTTTAGAGACTATAGGAACCACAAGTAGCCCAGCATTCAGAGAACGTAGTGTTGCTTGCTCATGGTGGTACTGTTGGGTCTCTGTAAATAATGTTTTAAAGAGTTCGGTCTAGACCTGCTCTATTTGAAAAGTGTCCTGAGATAACTTCTGTTATGAATTGGCGCTATACAAATAAAATTGAATTGAATTGAATTGAATTCTAGAGGGGTAATAGGGTACTATGAGCTAAAGATTAAATGAATTAGATATTAAAGCTGTGTATAATATCAACATTACAGTATATTACTGAAGTTGAAATTGTAAAAAGCCATAATGTGTGTTCACTTTCTTAGGAACACCTGTACAGTGTAGCTGAATCCAACACTAAAGTACCTATTGCAGTTCCTCTAACGTCCACCAGAGGCTCCAGCAATGAGTCAGTCTCCGTTAATGTCCGACTTTACAGCAGGAAAAAAACATGTTTACAGCTTTTTGGTCTCTGTAGCTAACTTCCTTTCTCATGATGACTGTATTTTTTATACAACTCACCCCTTTAAATTCTGTTTTCAGTAATCAGGCTTCATTCAGCCTCAGCTCCACCATTGTTGGATCTGCCTGGAGCTAGAGTCAGGACTGCCAAGATGGTGACTAATTGTAATTTATATTGATCCCAGTGTGATCATTGAGTGATTGTAAAGACTTTTTTATCTTCAAACATAAAAGAAAGTGGATCCCTTAAGACAAAATCTCTGTGGTCAACTGTCACTGTGAGGAATAGGAATAAAAGTATATATGAGCAGAACAATATACAAATTAATATAAGAAAGTTATACATAGTGTGTGTGTGTGTGTGTGTGTGTGTGTGTGTGTGTGTGTGATGTGTGTGTACAATACACACACTATACAGTAATCACTGTTATTGTCCATATATGTGATTATTGTTTTGGTGTACTTTGCTCTGTAGCGCCAACCAGTGGGGAGGCGTTGGATCAGGTTGTGTGCAGGGTGGAGTAATAATACAATAACAACTTTATAAAACAGATTACTTATACAATTCAAAAGGGGTCTGGCATTTTCATTGCCAAAGCAAGAGTAAATTATACGTATATACCGATTAGAAGACATAACACAAATACAACATACGTGAAAACAAAAGAAAAAATGATGTAATAAAATAAACAATATAACACTATTTAATACTATAGAGTTGAAAATGATAAATATAATAATGTGGTATAATCACCTGTTAATTAAAAAGTAAACAAACTGCTTTATTCATTTAAATGTTGACGGAAGATCTGCTGACGTGTGACGCATTGACGCAGCGTGCGCAGAGGGCGTGTCCTGTTGCGTCATACCCGGAAGTGATGTGCAGTCAGCAGACTGAGTGAAAACAACAACATCAGCTCCGTTAGTCTGATTGTTCGTCTGCTCATTCCCCGACCTTCCTCCGCTCTCACACCGACATTCCTCCCGCTGTTTCCCCGGCGGACGGTGCGCAGGCGGCGGGCAGAGGATGTGGATCCAGCCGGAGGAGGTGCTGCTGGCCGGAGCGCTGTGGGTGTCTGAGCGGGCCAACCCGTTCTTCATCCTGCAGAGGAGGAGAGGACACGGCCGCGGGGGGGGGCTGTCCGGTGAGTCAGGACCGGTCCGGGTCTGTATGATACACCACAGTCCGCTATAGACCGCTGTAGACTGATGTAGTCCACTACAAACCACTACAGACCACTACAGTCCGCTATAGGCTGCTACAGTCCACTACAGTTTAGTATTAGTACAGAAAACTACAAACCGCTACAGTCCACTATAGTCCACTACAGACCGCTACAGACCACTATAGTCCACTATAGTCCACTACAGACCGCTACAGACCACTATAGTCCACTATAGTCCACTACAGACCGCTACAGACCACTATAGTCCACTATAGTCCACTACACAAAACTACAGACCGCTACAGTCCACTATAGTCCACTACAGACCGCTACAGACCACTATAGTCCACTATAGTCCACTACAGACCACTACAGACCACTATAGTCCACTACACAAAACTACAGACCGCTACAGTCCACTATAGTCCACTACAGACCGCTACAGACCGCTACAGACCACTATAGTCCACTATAGTCCACTACACAAAACTACAGACCGCTACAGTCCACTATAGTCCACTACAGACCGCTACAGACCACTATAGTCCACTATAGTCCACTACACAAAACTACACACCACTACAGACCACTACAGTCCGCTATAGGCTGCTACAGTCCACTACAGTTTAGTATTAGTACACAAAACTACAGACCGCTACAGTCCACTATAGTCCACTACAGACCGCTACAGACCACTATAGTCCACTATAGTCCACTACAGACCGCTACAGACCGCTACAGACCACTATAGTCCACTATAGTCCACTACACAAAACTACACACCACTACAGACCACTACAGTCCGCTATAGGCTGCTACAGTCCACTACAGTTTAGTATTAGTACAGAAAACTACAAACCGCTACAGTCCACTATAGTCCATTACAGACCGCTACAGACCACTATAGTCCACTATAGTCCACTACACAAAACTACACACCACTACAGTCCACTACAGAAAACTACAGACCGCTACAGTCCACTACAGACCACTATAGTCCACTATAGTCCACTACAGACAACTGCACACAGCTACAGTCCACTACAATTCAATTCAATTCAATTCAATTCAATTTTATTTGTATAGCGCCAATTCATAACAGAAGTTATCTCAGGACACTTTTCAAATAGAGCAGGTCTAGACCGAACTCTTTAAAACATTAATTACAGAGACCCAACAGTACCACCATGAGCAAGACCTTGGAGACAAGGGCAAGGAAAAACTGCCTGTTAAAAGGCAGAAACCTAGGACAGATCCTCCGGCTCTAGGTGGGTGGTCGTCTGTCTCGACCATTTGGGGTGAGAGAGAGGGAGAGACAGAGAGAGAGAGGGGGAGAGAGACAGACAGACAGACAGACAGACAGACAGACAGGTGCACAGCAACAACAGTATTGGCAATGGCAATCTAGCAGGACCATGGCAGGAGGCTCCACCAGGATCCATAAGAACCTGCGAGACGAGAAAGCACAAGAACTCCGGGGAAGAAGTGAAGTTAGTAACATGCATTAATGGGACATGAATGAGTGCAGAAAGAGAGAGGAAGAGAGGAGCTCAGTGCACCATGGGAGATCCCCCGATAGTCTAGGCCTATAACAGCATAACTAAGGGATGGTTCAGGACTCACCTGATCCAGCCCTAACTATAAGCTTTATCAAAGAGGAATGTCTTAAGCCTACTCTTGAGTGTGGTGAGGGTGCCTCCCGAACTACAACTGGAAGCTGGTTCCACAGGAGAGGAGCTTGGTAACTGAAGGCTCTGGCTCCTGTTCTACTTTTAGAGACTATAGGAACCACAAGTAGCCCAGCATTCAGAGAACATAGTGTTCTAGAGGGGTAATAGGGTACTATGAGCTCTTTAAGATATGAAGGGGCCTGACCATGAAGAGCTTTATAGGTGAGGAGGAGGATTTTAAATTCTATTCTACATTTTACAGGGAGCCAATGCAGAGAAGCTAGTACAGGAGAGATGTGATCTCTTTTTCTAGTTCCTGTCAGTACTCGTGCTGCAGCGTTCTGAATTAATTGGAGCGTTTTAATGGACTTATTGGGGCAACCTGATAATAAAGAGTTGCAGTAATCCAGCCTTGAAGTAACAAATGCATGGATTAGTTTTTCTGCATCTGTCTGTGATAGTATGTGTCTAATTTTTCTAATATAACGTAAATGAAAGAAGGCAGTCCTAGAGGTCTGCTTCATGTGGGAGTTAAATGACAAATCCTGATTAAAGATAACTCCAAGATTCCTGACAGTGGTGCTAGAGGCCAAGTTAATGCCATCTAGAGTAACTATATCTTTAGACAGTGAGTCTCTAAGGTTTTTGGGGCCAAGAACAAGAATTTTTTTTGTTGTTTTTGTTTAACATCAGAAAATTGCAGCTCATCCAGGATTTTATGTCCTTTAGACATGATTGTAATTTAGACTACACAAAACTACAGACCGCTACAGTCCACTACAGTCCACTATAGTCCACTACACAAAACTACAGACCGCTACCGTCCACTACAGTTTAGTATTAGTACAGACAACTTCAGACCGCTACACTCCACTATAGTCCATTACAGAAAACTACAGACCGCTACAGTCCACTAGAGAAAACTACAGACCGCTACAGTCCACTATAATTTCAATTCAATTTCAATTTCAATTTCAATTTTATTTGTATAGCGCCAATTCATAACAAGTTATCTCAGGACACTTTTCAAATAGAGCAGGTCTAGACCGAACTCTTTAACATTAATTACAGAGACCCAGCAGTACCACCATGAGCAAGACCTTGGAGACAGGGGCAAGGAAAATCTCCCTGTTAAGAGGCAGAAACCTAGGGCTGACCCTTCGGCTTTAGGTGGGTGGTCGTCTGCCTCGACCAG